GCCCTCCAAAAAGAAAGCGACTTGCCTAACTTATGATCAATGATGTAAAACCTTTAAACAAAATACTAACAAATCATGAATAGTTATTTATCAAGAGATCAATTTACATGGCCAAGTGGACTTATCCCAGAATTATTAAGCAGATGGCTTAATAATAGAAACATTATCAAAATACACAACACACCAACAGGCTCTACATAGCATTACATAGTTAAACCTTAAAAAAAAAAAAAAAAAAAACTCTTGTTAAGATCTAGTAAGGGGAGAAAGTCTCTATTAGAAAGAATATACGTCTCAAACAAGTGCTAACATGCTTAATGTAAACAGGGGTGCCATTACTGTTAAAGTCAAAATAAACAAGAATATGCAGTGTTTCCTTTTTATTTTAAACATTCTTAAAGTTATAACTGAAAACAGTGAAATAATGAAAGATAAATAACATACTGAATACAAGAAATTCCAGATACCTATCAATAAAATATGTTATCAACTGAGAAACCATGAGAATAAAAAGTTCAGTAAAGTTTGATTTTCAATATATAAAAGTCATTAACTTTCTTAATTACAAGTAATAACAAATCTAAAATAGAAATACTTAGTCATAACAGAAATGAACTAAAATACTTAGGAATAAAGGTAAAAATGTATGAAACATATTTAAAAAACATAAAATACTTAGATGAAGGCATAAAAAACTTGAATAAACAAAACAACATATCATGTAAGAACATGGCAATACTTAATATAAAAAATTCTTCTCCTCCAAATTCTATACATTTAACCAAATGGGATTTTTTGGTATTTATTGTGTATAATACACTGTTCTGAAAAAAATGGGGTAGAAAAGGGTTTTAAATTTTCTTAAGAAACTACAGAATGTTATACTATATTATAAGGTCAAAATAATTTAAAAACAAAGTGATAAGTAAAGCAACAATCTCTAAACAAATGCTAATATATGRTTAGGGCCATGCCTTTTGAGTACTGTGATATTTCAAACCAACAGGGACATATAATATGACCAAGAGATCAGAACAACCCAACTCAAATTCAAAAAGTGAGGAAGTATAAGTAAATTATGGTAATATATTATCTAATCTATTTTTATTAAGAGAGTAATGACAAATGTCTTCTAGATGTTATTTCTCACCCTTCTTACAAGCAGGTCAGACACACAGTTGCAAATGAGTTATAAACGTAAAATGTCTGAAAAACAATAAATTCCTCACCAAAATTTTAAAACTTTACTGAAAGAATACATTCAGTTGGGCACAGTGGAGCATGCCTGTAATCGCGGCAGCTGGGGAAACTGAAGCAGGAGGACCCCGAGTTCAAAGCCAGCCTCAGCAACTTAGCAAGGTCCTAAGCAACTCAGTGAGACCCTGTCTCTAAATTAAAATATTTTTAAAAGGGCTGCGGGATGTGGCTCAGTGGTTAAGTGTCCCTGGGTTCAATCATGGGTACCAAAAAAAAAAAAAAAATTCAGCAACTTTACCACTAAGAACAGGATTAAGTTTAAATCCCAATTCACAGGAAATGCCCAAATAAATTCAGATACATAAAGTTAAATATTAACACTGAAAATATACTATCAAATGTACTTCAAAAAGGCTGAAATAATTTAATACTTCAACTAGCACTGTAGTACCCAATTTCCCTAGTATTCAGCACTATATATTCATTCTTTTTTGAATTCTACTTCTAGGAATTCAAAGCAAAGCAATAATCAGAAACATATATGAAATTAAATAATTAAGGATACCTATTTCAAAATAGCTCATAATTTTGAAATGTTAAATAAGATTTAAATCTTCCTCAACTTGTAATTAAATAATTTATTGTTCCTTATTCAACACAATATTACACAGATATTACTAATAAAGTTGCTGAGTAATATTGTGTTGAATAAGGAACAAATAAAGTAAGTATATAACTACATTGTTTTACAAATTATTGTGTGGTAATAAATATATATGCAGTAGTCAAATGAGTTTCCACACTCAATCCCAACTCCAGAAAAGGGAAAAATTTAATTTTAWAGTTATGTGAATGCAAAACTTTTAAGGACAGATAACAAATGTTAAACAGTGGTTTTTATGGATGTTTTCCCCTCCTTCCTTCCTAGAGTTTCTTCTCAAAAACTTGTTTAATTTACCAAATTAAACAACTACTGTTCTATAATTTTAAAAAGGCTATGCTATAGCTGGYATACAGATAAAGAAATTCCACTTCTATGAATCTGTACTAAATAATTAAAATATTTTTAAAAGGGCTGCATATACAAGCATATAAGTACAGTGGTCATCTCAGCAACAGAAATTAACCATAAATAACTTAAGTTCAATGAAAAAGAAAGGCTCAAGTATAGTATCTCTATAGAATGTCTATTAAAACTCAGAGGAATATTCAATGACAAAAAATACATACAAAATAACACTGGATTAAAATATAGAATATGAAATGGCAACCTCATTCTAAAAATAAATATATAACTATATTTATACAGAAATCATATACAGTATTATAAAAAGGCTGGAATAAAACAACAAAGGCTAAATTGATTATCTCTGGACAATGCATTGTCAGTGGTTTTAATTCTCTTCTTAACACCATTCTGTTTTCCAAATTCTCTACAAAGTGAGTTTGGCAAGTGTGATATACATACAAGAATATCCAAAGGAGAAAGGAGAAGGAGGAGAGGAAATTTAAAAATAAAGCAGCCATCTGGCCTACTGCTTTGAGTTAGTTTTAGTTATAGAATTTAATTCATTTTACAATTTAAATGACACTAACGGAAGAGATTATTTTATCTACCACATGTATGCATAGGCATTTTTTTTAAGGAGAAGAACTGTTCCAAGTGTATACTTTTATTTTCAAATATATACTTTCAACTTAAAATTTTAACGAGTATATTAGTTTAAATGTTACAAAAGTATTACTTTTAAAGGGTAAAAATAAAAGTAGTTAGTAAAAAGGCACCCACCCTACAACACTATTTGAAAGTTATATTGACTATCATATCAGGAATACATGTGTTAATATTTTACTCTTAATGCAAATAAAATTACATTTAATTAATTATTCTTTTCTCCTCTAAAAACATTGTTTACATATATTTGTAAGTTTAATAAGGAAAATACTATATTTCTTATTTTGATAATATTAGAGTGAGTTCTCACTTAAGATTTAAAGTTATATTAAGGCTTAAAGTCAACAAATGTTTGTAAGAAACATTACATGCAATGATTAGTAGCTATATAATAAAATCACAAAAATAAAAATGTGAAATCTACAACACCAACAATATTCATATTACTATTCCTGCTTTACTAAAAATAGACATTCTTAAAAAACTCACTTAAAAACTAGCTAACTAAAAAATATTTGAAAAGTATTTATAACTAAACTAGGTATTATTGTACCCAATCTTCCTATAATTATTGCAATAAATAAATGACTGTCTAAAGCTTTTATCTCATATATATGAATTCTAGACTATGGTATTAGTTCCTGTTTTTCAGATAAATAATCACAATTGGGAACCTCCTAAAGCTTTAAAGAGCATCATCATAGTCATACTTTTAATAACTTAAATTATTTGATCCAGATAATACAGCATCTCACACCTCAGTTGTCAAAAGCTTTTCAATCTTTATAATGAATAAGACCTCTAAGATTTTATTAACTAATCACAAATAACACTTTTCTCCTCAAACTCCATTGTAAATATTTTTGTATGCCATAAAAAAAATCTTTTATCCTATCTAACAAACTGCAACTATCAGAATAAATACTTAAAACTTGATGTTTTAATTTTAAATTGCTGATGTAAGTTTATACATTTATAGTACCTCCACAGACATAATGTAAGATCAGATGCCAAATAACCCTTAGTTTTGTACTTATTAAAGTACTAAACACAAAAACCTTAAATGAGTCTATATACTTGGTACAGCACTAGAGTTTGGTTTTTTGTTTGGTTTTGGTTTTTTTAATGGTCTAATGAGAGAGCAGTAGAGAAAACCAATGAAACAAAAAACTGGCTCTTGGAAAATGTAAATAATATCAATAAACCTCTAGCTAGATTGACAACAACAATAACAAAAGAAAGCACAAATTATCATTAATGGGAGCAAAATAGGGGCTATCACTACAGACCCTGAAGATATCAAAATGACAATGAGAATACTACAACTCATTTGACAACACAGAAGAAACAGACCAATTCCTAGCAAATTACCACAACCCATTCAAAATGAAAAAGATAATTTGAATAGCCCTAAAATTATTAAAGGTATTAAATTTCCAATTAAAAAGACTATCGTATATGGAAATCTTCAGAATCAGATAGTTTCACTAAGGAATTCTACCAAACATTTAAGAATTAACACCAATTCTACACAAATGCTTCCAAGGAAAGGACGCTTCCCAAGTTTTACCAAGTCAGTATTATCACAATACTTAAAGTAAATGGAGATGGAGATTGAGATGGAAGAGGAGGAGGAAGAGGAAGGGAAGGGCAAGAGGAAATACCATAAATCTGTATCCATCCCAAGTATAAATACATATTGTTAACAGAATATTAGCACTTTTACACACCAACTCTAGGGCTTATTCCACAGATTTAAAGTCTGATTCTATATTTTAAAATCAATCACGGTAACMTACCAAATTAATGGGCTAAAGAAAATCACACAAACTTATGGAGTCATTGGTACACACACACTAAATCTTTGCCTTTATTCAATTTGGATAACATCAACCATATCCATAAATTTTAAACAGCTTTCCTACATACCATGATTTTCACCAACAAATCAAAACTGTACCTATATCAAATTTCATGAAACAGATCTTGAATATTTGAGAATTCCAAAAAACAAGACATTAAAATATCTTTAAAAGTCAGTGATTTTCTGTTGTTGTTGTTGTTTAACTTCTGTACAACAAATAGGATGCCTGCATGCACTCTCAATTGAGAAAGAAAACTGTCTTACCATAATTAAACTGACTGTTGGACTTTTCACAGTTAATGATGTTAAACCTATAAGCAACACCTGGCCGCATTCCACTGACTTCAAAGTAAAACCACTGATGATAATGATTGCTGTTTATATCTGAGTTCAGAATCAGATCATATTCATTTCTGAAAATAGAMGGTAAACACATCTGATGAAAATTAGGAAAATATTTGTGCATATAAAGAATGAGATCATTTTAAGTAACTTACTTTCTTATTTGGATTACTTTGCGAAGATTCCCAGATTCAAATTTGGAGTTAAACTTCAAAATGTCTCCTTCTTCTGGAATGGTGTAACTAGACAAATATTTWAAAAAGTGTACTAAAATATATTGCATTTAAGCAGATGATCAAAAAACAAATAAAACTACACTCAGATTAAAAGTGTTATCACTTTTGCCACCTCGAATCCCTTTTCATTTTTAAAGCAAAGGATATAACACAGGGAAGTACATACTTTGACATTTATAGACCCCAAAAAACTATAATTACAACAAGAAACTTGTTCTTACAATATTCTAATATAATTGAAACTTTTAACTCACTGGAAAAAAATCATTTCTAAAATACTGATTAGTAGATAGAAAAAAACCTTGTTTTTAAAATTGCATACAACCTACATGAGTAGCAATAATGCTAATAAACCATGCAGTTCATTGGAGAAAACATTACCTTCAATCTAGACAACAGTTATTTAATTAGCCCCCCAAAGTGACAGGTATTATCCTCCTTTTACATGTTCATTATTTTAGCAATTATTTATTGAGCACCTACTAGGTTTCAGATAATTGTTTTAGTTGTTTATTTGGTTCCCTGATCAAATAAAAATTTCTGCTCTCTGGAAATTACATTGTAATAGGGGAAAACTAAAACTCTAAGAAGCTCAATGATTTTTATTCCAAAGTAATTTCAGTTAAAAGTAATAGCAGTATGCCAAACTTAGGGTTCTTGAATTTCTATTTTTATCATGTCTGCCCAGTTTCTCCAATACAGAACTGTGAAAACTGAAATAACTCAGTGATTTTTAATAAAATAGATATCTCTTTCTCATTGTAAGAATATTATTTTAAATTTGGTCATTAGCTTTGGGTATAGCTTTTACTTTCACCTCTCTACCAAAAATCTTTGTAAAAGTGTTTATCTCCTCCAAATATTATCAGTAAAATGTGAAATTTCCCTTAGAATAATCAGAGAAAGGAGAAACCCACCAAAGGCTAACTGAACAAATGACTGAATAATATTCACAGTCAACATTTGTAATTTTCATTGATTTATTTATTCTTAAATCCAAAAAGGTGATATCAGTGAGAATCCTAAGTAATAAATAACTAACATGCCAAGGATCACAAATAAATGGCTTCAAAGCTAAGTCAGGTAACTTAAATAACTGAAACTGTCTGTAAACTGTAAGAGATAATAAGATGGAGCAAGTGGTGGGAACTGGTGAAAATTAGCAAGCACATGCTTCATTCTTAAGGAGATGATAATTTGTTGTGCTTAGGAAATGAAGGTTCAATATTGCTGGACAAGTCAGTATTTCACATGAAATCTCCATTCTTTTAAGTGGAGGTAATTTTATTTAAAAAAAAAAAAAAAAAAAAAAAAAACAGCATTAGGCTGGGCAGGCCGGCAGGGCAGCACATGCCTGTAATGCAAGCAGTTTGGAAGGCTGAGGCAAAGGACCCCAAGTTCAAAGCAGCCTCAGCAACTTAGTAAGGCCCTAAGCAAGTTAGGAAGAACCTGTCTCTAAATGAAATATAAAAAATGGCTGGAGTTGTGCCTCAGTGGTTAAGCACCCTTGGGTTCAATTCCTGGTGCAACAAAATCAAAAACAAATAACAACAACAAAAAATTAGTTTCTGGCCTATAAAATCAAACAAATAAAAGCTTGTGATATATTCAATTCAAGTAAATAAGCATAATTTACCATAATTATTTTATCCTTGTCAAAGGATGAAAACACAGCAAGGTAGAAATTAACTGTAATTTTTTTTTATCTTTTAGAAATAACAGTAAAATTTTACTATAAAAACAAAAATAAGGTTTTTAAAATCAGACTTACTTTGGGTTATCTAAGTCATATACCACTCGATCTATGATATCGGTCTGATGTATTAGCCTCTCAATATCTTGGGCAATTTTTGTCCTGAAATCATAAAAGAGAAGTTTGATCAAAATTCACTATTATATATGCCAATGCACAACCTTCTCCAAAATAAGTTTTGGATGAAAAAGGTGTAAAATGATAAAGTCCAATAGTGGGAGAGAAGAGAGAGGAGGAGGGAGGAAAGGAAGGAAAAGAAGAAAAAGAAATGAAGAGTGGGGAAAAGAAAATGGGAAGGAAGGAAGGAAACCAAGAATGTCCATTAGAATTAGCGTGAATTAGCTGGATACAGTGGTGCACACCTATAATTCCAGCAATTCCAAAGGCTGAGGCAGGAGGATCACAAGTTCAATATCAGCCTGGGCAAAACAGTGAGACCCTTTCTCACAATAAAAAAAAAAAACATAAAAAGGGTTAGGGATATAGTTCTGTGGTACAGTGACACTGGTTTAATCTTACATGCACACACACACACACACACAACATACATACATACATAAATAAATAAAAAGAAGGGTTGGGGAGAGAGGGAAGGTAGGGATTTGCTAAATCATTAGGCACATGATTTTGTATACACAATAGCAGCAGTGTTAGAAGTGGTTAATTTGAAATATCATATTACGTAAGATTTTTTAAAACCCACCTAGCTGGGAATTTGGYCAAAATTCAGTTAATAGTCAGTTTGTATGTTTTACAGAATCCCCCCTCATTTCTGTGGTGGGAAAGGAAGGTGGAAGAAAGGAATACACCTGTGTCAGGGAGTGAAAAGTGGTCCTTGGGTTCCCAGGATACTCAGAGCTTCATATTATTCTGAATCAGTATAGCAAAACAGACACTAACTAACTGGAAAATTTCTAAAAGCCCTGCCACTGTCCTAGAAGACTAAGCCACTCACAACTCACAATCTTCCCCATCAATATTTAAGTCACCTGACCAGGTGGCACCAAACTGCAGCCAAAACAACATATTTGGATCCTGAAGCCAGATGCTAGAATTCAGGTAGGCCAACCAAAGTCCTGCTAATGTTAACACACTGCTACTGTTCATAGCACAGCTTGTTCTTAAGGAGAAAGTCAAACTATATAAACTGATTTAAATTTCAAGTTTGTTCATTTCAGTAATGAAAATTAGAACAGTGATTTATAGATTCATGGGAGCAGAATAATAAAGTTTGCCAAAAAAATTATAATAAAACCTCAAGAATATACTGCATACTTAAAGTCTCCTTAACTTCAGGCAAACCTGAAACTAGCCTCCTGCACAAAGACACCGCTCTGTGATTAGAGCATAACCTCAAATTCAAAACAATCCTAGAACCTGTAAAGAATGAAACATATTATTGGAAAAACATTAAAATGTGTAACAGTTATACATATAAGAAAGACACCAAAAAATAAGAAAGTACAATGCCAACAATTCTTAATTACTAAACRAGCATAATTTATTTTAAGTTTATTCTATTAAAATAACATAAATGACAAACTAGTCTATCAAGTTAAAAAATCTAGTATCAAAAATTAAGCTATAAATTCTTAAATTTAATTTTAATGTCATAACTTTAAAATACCTAACTCTTTCTAAAGAAACAGACTTTTTAGAAAGCTATCATAGTGATAAACAAATTCAGAGTTTATATTAGACCTTCCAGACCTTCAACAGAGAAAGTTCTACGTACACTCAAATATATCACACATGTAAAATTTTAAGTGTTCCAGTATGGATGAATAACTAAAGACATTCATTTATTTAATTTAAAAAGATTGATATAGACCACCAATGTGCAAAAATAAATAATTACAAAAGTTTGGGGTTGTTTTATTTAGGAAAATGATACTGAAAGGATGCTTACAACAGCTCAGTTCTATAGCTATATTCCACATGAAACAGGTTCAGAAAGTACAGGCCTGTCTGGTAAGGTGGCATAAACCTGTAATCCCAAGATGGTGTCTCAAAATAAAATAAAATGGGCTGAGAATGTAGCTCAGAGGTACAGTATTCAATCAGTGGGTTCAATCTCCAGTACCACCAAAAAAAAAAAAAAAAAAAGTTGTCAAGTGGGAAACAGGTGATGTCCATTGCACCTAATTTTTTTTTTCCAAGAAATACCAGGAATTTGGCCTTTTATGTAAAATCTTCTAAAGGTTCCAATGTTGGTAATCAGTTTTAAATTWAAAAAAAAAAAGCCCACGTTAAACCAAATCATGTGCAAGTTGTACAAGACCACTGTTTTTCAACCTGACATTGTATTTTGGGGAACCATTAATTGCCATTTATATTAGACCTGATCTAAAATGAATACTTGAATGGAAGAGGGAAAATCATTTTTTATTCAGATATGTATTTGTGTAACTAGATTTCATAAAAGAACATTAATCGTTCCTTTACACATTTGCCTATTAAAATATATGGCTCTCCAGACAAAATAAAACATGTATATTTTAAGTATTACCTCAAAATTAGTGACATTCAACATTTATCAAAGGCTTGGCTCAAGAAAATAACTTATGCAGGGCAGTCTGTAAAATGTGCAGCCCGTTCAGTCCATACTCAAATGATCACACTATATGCAGCTACCCACAAAAGACTGTTAGGTTTTTCAACCACAAAGCCACACAGTAAGAAAAAAATTAATGAACCTTATTGCTGTATTTATGTAAGRAAATTATAGGAAATGATGTTAATTATACACATAATGGGGTTCTCTGAGGATCCATATTATTATCCATATCTTCTATAAAGAAAATCCAAGATAATCTTCTTCACAAGATAGTATGACTTATCTACATGTGTGTTCCATCAAGATACATCACACACACACACACACACACACACACACACACACACAAACACACACACATACACACAGTGATTAACAAAACAGATTCATGATCTAGACCTGGGTTTGACTCTTGGCTCTGCCAAGCAGATAAACTACTCAAAAATCCTGAACTTCAACTTATTCTTTTGTAAAATAGAGAAATAACAACACCTCCTTCATAGAGCTGTTACAATACTAAGTGGCACACTTTATATGCATATATACACAGCATATAAAATGCTTACTACTTAATTCTGTGCCTGACCCATAAAAATCATCCACTAAACCCATCTGCTGCTTTTGCTCCTACCAATATACTTCTACAGCTTCCTGAATTCTAGAAGTACTCATGCTTCTCCCAAAGCTATTTTTTACTTAACATGACAAATCTAGAATTTTGTTTTCCTTATATTATTTTCCTACAATTCTTCACCTACTTTTTAATTTAAACTTTCTGAGTAGGTAATATACTGATTTTTTATTGATTTAAAAAAATGACAGCAGAATGCATTACAATTCTTATTACACATGTATCACAAATTGGGTGTCAACATGTTTTATATAGAGATGAAAAATTGTGGTATATATGTGTAATATACTGATATTCTAAAAAATTTTAAATATGACATAAAAGCATAAAAGAAAAGGCTCCTTTTTCGACACAATCCATTTCCTCCACTCACCCAATTAGGTAAATACTTTTTTACTTTCCTTCTAGATTTTACTTTATATATTGAGTGCCTTTTATTAATTCAGAGTGCCTTTCCCTCTTTGTTTTTAATGTCATAAAAATACACTCCTTGCTTATTTCATTTAATAATATATCTTACAGCTCATTCCATCAATGCAGAGTGACTTTTGTCATCCAACCATTGAACAGAATTCACCAAACAGATATATCATAATTTATTTAACTTTGATTGATGAGCATTTGAGTATATCTCATAAATTCCTAGATATCGGATTAATGTGTCAAAGAAAACTATAGTGCTAATTGTGACAGACCCTGTCAGAATGCCCTCCACAGGAGTTATTATCATTGACAGTCTCACCCTCAAYGTATGAAAGAACCTATTTTTCCAAAGCCTCAGCAATAAAATGTGCTGTTAAACTTCTAGATTTTAGCCAAATTTGATACAGAATATTTTAACTTATTTTGAGTTGAAGTTGAAAATATTTTTGTGGTTAAGAGCTGCTATACTTTCTTTTCCTTATTTGTCATTTTGTTTTATTTTGTTGGTTATATTTTCAGAAAATACCTTAAATGCTTTTTAAAACAAGCAACATATACCATATAAAATTATAAAATAACAAAATATCTATTACAAAATGTAGCTAGAGTTTTCTATATAGATGAAAAATAATGGAAAGAAATCAAAATACTGGTCACCTTTGGGGCACACAACAAAAAGTGMCCTTTCTTCTTTTATTTTGTTATGTCCTGGTTTTATGAAATACAAAAACAGGAAAAAAGCACTAATAATGTTAAGCATACACTAAATATGAGATGAATTTAATTACAATTTTTAAATRCAACTTAAACCAAAACTAGAACTTAAATAATCATTAGTATATGTTTATAATAAACAAATTTTAATGCATTATCTACAGAGATAAGAATCTTACAACAGACATTTTCCTTTCAAATGAGGCAGATTTAGAAGTTTTATTCATTTTATACTAAACCTTCTTTTAAAAATATTAGTGGTGCATACTAGGAAGATAACCCACACAATAGAAATTTAAAACATTAAAGCTATTTTCATTGAATACCTTAAATCAGCCTGATGCCTCTAAAAATAATAAAACAGTAAATCTTCATTAATTTCAGTACTGCTCATTCACAATGCTACCGCACTCAAACAAGGACCAAGGAATAGCAAAAAGAGTCACAAAATGCTCATCATTTGTTCAAAAAAATAAGYTGCAGAAGACTGGGCAAGTAAGTTAAGCAAACTGGAAGTGACTTCATCAATGTATTTCAAAAGACAAACATTTCAGAGTGCTTTGAAATATCAGTTACCTGGCCCATATTAGGTTTTTTATTGTATACAAAACCACAGTCTCAGACCATCYAGCTACTAGGTTCAGCAAACCTTTCCTGTAAAGGGCCAGATRGTAAACATTTTGGGCTTTGCTGGTCTCTTTCACAACCATTMAATTCTACTATTGTAGCTCAAAAATAGCAACCAAAAACATAATAGACATGGCTGTGTTCCAAAAAAAAAAAAAAACCTTTGTTTATATAAATTTTGTATAATTTTCATGTCATAAATTACCAATTTTTCTCTGAAATGTTTTAATGAATTAAAGGTGGAAAAAAAAACATTTTTAGCTTGTGAGAGAACAAAATGGGTAGCAGACCAGATTTGGCACATGGGCTATAGTTTCCAATTCTAATCCAAGTGGAAGACTATCAAACTTTTTTGATTTTGGCCAACAAGAAATACACTTAAAAAATCATAACCCAAGTAGTAGTAGAATGCTTGCCTAACATGCACTGAGGTCCTGGGTTCAGTAGCTGGTACTACAAGAAGAAGAAGAAAAAGAAAGAAGAAGAAGGAAGAAGAAGGAAGAAGGACGAAGGACGAAGGAAGAAGGAAGAAGGAAGAAGAAGAAGAAGAAGAAGAAGAAGAAGAAGAAGAAGAAGAAGAAGAAGAATTTATAATCCTACAAAGAGAAAGAGGACATAAAAGATTATAATAACTTAGTTGTACCACATGTGAACACTGCTATTTTCTATTAGTTATTAATAGTTAATGACTCAAATTTGAAAAACACTAACTCTCTACTTCCTTTTTCTTCAGTCAAGAAAACTGGTCTCTAGAGAAATAAAACTGCTTGCTAAGACACCCACGCCCATGCGCGCACATGCGCGCACATGCGCGCAGCGCAGAGAGTCAAAGGGTGAACTACATTTAGAACTTGCTTTTCAGAGAGCATTCTGCCCTGACAAGGTGTCCCTCACCACGCCAAACAGTTTTACTGCATTCATTGAATCTAATCCAAGTATTTTTGCTATATGCACTTGTTCTCAGCCTCAAACTAATTTAASTTGAAGGAACAAATAATTCTGGAAAGTTTTCTACTTATTTATCAGCAATATTGGGTAAAAAAAATGAAAGAGCAAGAGAAGATATACAACTTTGAGCAATGAGACTACATTCTTCACAATTTCCACATGAACACTTGGGACATTTGCAGAGGAGAGAAGAGGCAATAAGTTTCAAATACCAACATACTCTTGTCTATAACTTATAAACATTTTTTAAGTGAAAACATTTTATTTTTTTTGTAGTAGTTATAGCTAAAGTAACTAACATTTATTGGAGAAAATCCTACACATCTAAATAATATAAACAGAATCATATAAATGATACATGTCTAATGTAAACACATAATACATCTAATATAAATCCTATACATCTAAATAATATAAACAGAATCATATTATTTTCATTAAAATATGAAACTTCATACCCATCAATGTGATCACTCTCAGGACTGCAACTCCATATTGAAATATGATTATATTCCTGCCTCTTATCAAGTATTTGATAGCCAAAAAAACTGACAAATATGTAACAATGGAATTATGACAAATATGATAAAAGATGTTCTTTGTACCATAGTATATACAGATCAGTCAAACCTGGTAATAGTCACCATTACACAAAATGCATGATGCTGACAGACTAGAAGACAAAAGGTTTTAGATTGCTTTAGAAGTTATGATTCATTTCTGTAGCAACAAATCAGAAGGCAGAAAACATTTCCAAGAAAATTGTGAAAATTAGTGGGAAATTTTATCTATATAGAAAGAAATCTTTGAAATTTGTAGGGCACCATGGCCACCCAACCCTCAAAGGTGTATWGGAGCCCAACCCCATTTTTCTCACTGCAAATTTTCTTAAAGCAAACACAGATAACAGAGTTTAAAATGATTAAGTTTCTGGGCTCTTGTTTGAGCCTAATCTCCTTTGCTCTGTAACTTATATACCAACACACCTATCTGTAAAACACATATGCCAACTCTCATTGATCTCTTGATCTTTTATCATGCTGTTTGCCTCCCAGTATCAAAAATATATCTTAAAAGTTTTGGTTTGAACATTTGACAAACCCAGCGGTATATCACACTGTACACAGGCAATAAAAAAGGTGGTCTAATATACCAAAAAAAAAAAAAAAAAGTTAGACTCTAATCTGTTGATTCAACTTGCAGAGCAATTCCAAGGTCAATGTTTCAGGACAAATTGAGAGAAATCATCATAAATATTAAGAGAAGAAAGGGCTGTAGATAAGACATATAATTCCCATCATGAATAAATCCTTTCACCCTTAGGACAGTGACATGTCCATTCTCAGTTAAACTAGACAAGGGAGTAGCAAGTGGGTGGMCTGAGTTCCACACATATTCACCTTATTGCCATCATGTAAAAGCAACCCTACTTCCTTGAGTCATTCTGAGTTAATAACTTTTGTAAAGATGGCAAAATCTTTTCCCACCTCCTGGTCCTAGCCAGAAGGAAGCTAGAATCTCCATTCAGTAACCACAGCTTGTTGTTACWTTGTACCCTTGCTGTGTCTCTTTCAATTAAGACTGCAACTACCATGGGGACTGGACTTCTAATCCTGCAGAGCCCAGAGGTGCAGAGACAGAAAGCACAAATTCTCCCAGTGGGACACTAGGAGCTCTAGTAAAATATGGCCCAGCTCTCCCCTCCTGGTTCCCAGACCCACATATTCTTTCTATTGGGGATATAGAACTGTGCAAAAGTGTCTAGCTAAGTGCATCCTAAAAGACTGACTCATCCTTGCAGAGTATTTCCTTGGACTGAGAGCTTCACCTATGCTTTTTACAGCACACTACAAGGTCAGCTGCCTCTAGATGGTGCTGGCTGTGATTCAGAAGACACCACAGCCTGGCCCACTCTGAAGTACCTTTTCCAGTGAAGAAAGGTTCCTGTTTTGACGCTGTATGATTGATGTGGTATATTCCATACCTGTGGACCAAGTAGCCAAACAGTTGCACTAAATACACTAAGTTGCCAAGTAAAAATAATGAATTATACTAGGTGTTACAGATAAAAATAAATAAGATGTAGTTGTTGCCTTAAAGAAGCTTTTAATCTAAGGAAATCAAATACCCACAGTAAGGTCTTCTCTTTCCATTAAATACTATACTCATAATAAGAGCATCCACATTATTTTAGATACTGAGAATCCATCATCATAAAGCATTAGCCATGATCACTAAATATAGTCTGGACACASCAAAAAAGTTATTCTCTATTTGTAATATCTATTAATAGTTTTTGTAATATCTAATATTACTTGGCAATATTTAATAACTTTACTAACTGCTTGGTTAATCTCAAATTTTTACATTATATATAAAAAATTAACATTTCAAATTTTACTACAAAGTAATACTGTTCACATTGCTTTATTTATAGCCTGTTTTTTCCACATTCTTTTATTGTTGCATTATAGTTGTACATAATGATGGGATTTGTTGTTACATATGAGTACATGTATTTACAGCCTATTACTAATTAATATCTAAGTCAAGTTCAAATGATCAACTACTAAATAAATACTGCTAAGGTAACATTTATTCAAAGATGGATAATTTCAAAACAATGCTAAATGTCCAAAGTAGAATAAAAATTATGGTAACTTTTATTCAGACTAATTTGTTTCCTAAATATAATTATTATATCTCATATTTTAAAAATGGTTTTACATAGGAGGAGTAAGAGATCTGCAACTCACCTTTGTACACCATAAGGCCTTTCTAAAATAGGCTCTTTGAATGGAGGTGGAATGTGACCAAAGTAATCAGGATAAGCCACCTCTGAATATTCTGGGACAGACTTTGTGTTTTTCACAACCTCAATATAAAGGTCTGGGTCATGGAGTGTAGGTCCATCAGGTACTTCAACTGATGCTTGTTCCACAGATGAATTAGACTCAGTATCTTCATCATCTTCAGTYTCAACCCCAGTACAGCAGAGCTTCCCTAGCTGAACTGTCCGACCCTCGAAAAGAACATTTCCACAGGTAGCCATGTGTGGACATGCTTTAGTGCATGTGAGAACAGCAAGAGGGAGACTACAGTCCTTCTTAACTTCTGCTGTCAAACCTGGGGCTGTTTGAGAAGGAATATTCTGCAATGTGATTCGGTCCAATGCTTTCACAATATCATTGTTTAAGCCATGGGTTGGTAAAATAGTTCTATTTTGATCACCTAGTTGCTGTTGTAATGTTCTGTCATCAGCTTTAATATCTTCTTTTGCTACATCCATAAAGGCAGGTTGCTTATCTTCCTCTCCTTTAGGAGATACTTTTTCCTTCATTACAGGTCCCTTTTTTAAATTAGCTGGACTCCCAGATGCATCCTCTCCAGCCGTGGGAACAACAATTGGGCCACGTAATTTTCCCTCAAATACAAAAGGCTTTGGTTCTTTGGAGATTAAATCATAGTCCTTTAAAAATAAGAAAAAAATGTTTAATCGTCATCGGTCAATATTAAAATACATTAACAAAAGTAAGATCATATTCATTTTATATGCTGCCTCAGAAACTTAACATTTGAAAATTTCAAAGATGGATAAAACAAAATGTTTTAATTTTACTAACAAAAGACAAAATATTTAACCACAACAAAATTTTTAACAGATCTTACTCTTTCCACAAAAATATGGGTATTTTAGAAAAGCATAAAGACATTAAAGTTATCCAAAGTCCTACTGGGGAAACACAACTAAACCATTGTTAGTTCAACAAATGTTACAAAGTATCTGTTTGGTGCAATATTTATAGAGTATCTGTTTTGTGCCAAGCATTGTTTCAGACATTTAAGACACATCAGTTTAAAAGAGAAAAACAAATTCTTCTCTTGACAACTTTTATTCTTATAGGAATGGAAAGGAAAGGACTCATGACCAGTAATAAACATAACATAAGTATATTTTCTAGAACACTAGAAGGGTGTAAAGTTCTACAGAGAGGAGTAGGGGAAAAAATATAATGAGGATCAGAAGTACCACAGGCAGGAGAAGTAGGTAGCAATTCTAAATGTCACTGGCTAGGGCTTATTGAGAAGATGAGATATAAGCAAAAGACTTACGAAGTTGAGGGTGCCACACACAGGGTGCATTCCTGCCAGAGCACAGGCCCCAGAATGGGTGAATGCCTGGAGTATTCAAAGACAGGAAAATTGGTATRGAAGGAACAGAACATAACAGAAAGGTGAATTCCAAGAGGCCAAAGCAAGCCAGGTACCATAGAGCCATACAAGTTAATAATTTTGGTTTTACTCTAAATGGGAGGGATGAGTGCCATGACATGACTTGTGTCTTAAAAATAATACCCTGGTGCAGGGTTTCTTAGGCACATCAGTAGATATTTTGGACCAAATCATTCTTTTTTTGTTGTTTGGTTTTATATTTCAGGGGACAAGGGTTTTATACACTACAGGGTATTTAGCAGCAGCCTTTATATCTACAACTAGATTCCAGTAGTATTCCCTCTGATTACCAAATTTAAAAGCCAAGAATGTCTCCTAMCATTGTTAAATGTCCCCTGAGAGGCCACTGAAAACCACTGCTCTGGTCATGTAATCCAAGCAGTTCAGGAGGTTGAGGCAGGAAGATCCCAAGATCAAAGCCAGTCTCAGAAACTTAGCAAGGCCCTGAGCAACTTAGTGATACCCTGTCTCAAAATTWAAAAATAATTTAAAAAAGGGGGGCTGAGGATGTGGCTCAGTGGTTAAGCACCCCTAAGTTCAATCCCCAGAACCAAAAAAAAAAAAAAAGGAGAGAGAGAGAACCATTGCTCCGATGCTCCTCTAAGAATTGTCTGAGGAAGAGAAAGTAGAAGCAAGAGTCCAAAAAGAATCTGTTGTAGTAATCCAGGGAATTTGGCTAAGAGAAGATGAATTCTCAACATATTGCAGAACCAATTACTATACTGATAGAACAGATATGGGGTAGCAGGCACAGAGAGAGGTCACAGATTATGCAAGAATATTTTCAAGAACAAATGGAAAAGCATGAATCAGGAATTAACTTCCGGACATGCAAAGTATGACCTATCCACATAACAGATGATGTAAAGTAGGCAGCTGAATATCAGTCTAAAATTCAGACAAAAATTCTATGCAGAATAAATAAATGTCAGAGTCCTTAGCATACAGATATTATTACAAGTAATTTAACCAGCAATCCTCAATGAAGAGAAACAGAGAAGAGAATAAAGAACTGAGCCTTGGAGTAGTCTAATCTTGGAGGCTGGGGAGATAAAGATGGGCCAGAAAAAAAGATGGAAGAGGAAGAGTCAATTCTGCAAAGAAGAAAAGCAGGAAGGAAAAGGGTCCTGGAAGCTAAATTTTTAAAAAATATTTATTTTTTAGTTGTAGTTAGACACAATATCTTTTTTTTTCTTTCATTCATTTATTCATTCATTCATTTTATGTGATGTTGAGGATGGAACCCAGGGCCTCACACATGCTAGGAGAACGCTCCACCACTGAGCCACAAACCCAACCTTTGGAAGCTACATTTTAGAAAGGATGCTCACTGAGCATGAAAATTCTAGATGAAATCCTAGATGCTCGGGAGGCTGAGACAGGAGGATTGCAAGTTCAAAGCCAACCTCAGCAAAAAGTGAGGTGCTGAGGAACACACTGAGACCCTGTCTCTACATAAAATACAAAACAGATCTGGGGATGTGGCTCAGTGGTCAGGTGCCCCTGAGTTCAATAACTGGTACTAAAAAAAAAAAAAAAAAAAGGATGCATTTTGATATCTACGCAAGATTCCATCAAGGAAATATACCATAAATAATTTAATCACTGCCTTACTGCTGAGTACGTAATCCTTTAATAGAACAAAGAATTATTTAAACAAACATAGTTAAGGTGTACAGTTAAACCATTTTCAAAAATATTGCTATTATAAAGGACTCCACAAATGAAAATCATTTTGCAAAATGTTTTTGATTTAAGATGATTTCCTAAGCACTTGGAAGTACAGGGTCACACATTATATTCAATTTTAATGCTTATTGTAAACTTCCAAATACATTCAAAATTTATTTGTATTAACATATTCCCAGCAACTATGTATGAGAGTATCTAATTTCAACTGTTCTCTACCTTGACAATATCAGGTACTATAGATTTTTTTTTAGTTTTCTAAACTGATAAAGAATATTATTTTATTGCTTTTTAAACTTATATTTCTTTAACTATTAGAAAAGAAATAATTTTCCATGCATCTACTAACAGCAGCAATTCTTCAAAACTAGTTTGTTTCTATAATACAGTATCTTTCTTGTTTTGCTATGTAAATTTTCACATTATATTTACACACATTTAGCTAACTCATTTTTGCAAACGTTTTTCTATATTTACAATTTATCTTTTAATTTGAGTTAACTTCTTTAAATACACTAATGTAGTCAAAACCAGATCTTTTCATTTGTGATCAATTCCTTGAATGCCCACTATACAAAAACTAAGGATTCAAATATGATTTATGTCAGCCCCTGTACTATATATAATCCAAGCAGACAATGGAGGCATAAAGAAGGGGTAGTAAATTTACATAAAAAAAACACTTGTAGGAAATATTATGGTCAGTATCCACCCCACAAAAACGTTTATAATTGTTGCATGATATTTTAAGTATGTCAGTAAGTGGATAAGAAATCAAGGATTAAGGCCAAAACATAAGGAGCGAGGWAAAGATGGAAGCTAGCTTTCACTCTGAAAAAAATTTCTAAACCAGTTAACTGTGGATATAGCTTTTCCCATCTCAACAAGAATGAAGATCAGAAGATAAACCCAGAACTAGAAAGGTGGAGAGTCCATAAGAAAATCATCCTTCCACAAAGACAAACCCAGAGATCTAATACTTCAAAATATAGGTCCTAGAAATACCCTCAGCCCCAAACAGACAGTAGCAAGGAAAACCCAATGTTTTAAGCCTTAACACCAAGATGGTGAAAAACAACACTACTCACAAACTGATACCAAAAGCCTGCCATCACATCACACAAATTTACAGCTTCAATTCACATTATCTGGGTGGTCCAAAAACCCTCAAGGAAGAATTTAATCTAGAACTGTGCCTGTCAAAAGCAACAACAACATAACACTTCTAGAGTTTCCACATAATTTCCACAAACAAAATCATTAAGAAAATAAATAGCTCGTAGTTATTCTATTAAAAAAAAAACTACATGTACTAATTGAGAAAGAGAAATAAAAAAGACCTATAAGAACTTTGAACACCAAAATTACAAAGACTAAGAAAGGATTATACTTACTATGTTTAAGGAAATAAAATATAAGAAACAAAAAATTAAAGACTGATAAAACATCTTTAAAAACCTTCTAAAAAATCAAAAACAAATGAAATGGTTAGTGGATATTTTTTATAACAGATTAGATAAGCCAAAAAAATAATTAGGAAATTAGCAAACTGGCAGACAGTTCTGATAAAATTACCTAAATGCAGCATAAAGAAACCAAGAGAAGGAAAACATGAAAAAGAATTAAAGACCCATGGAAGAGAATAAAAAGGTCTTCCATTAGATTAGAATTGTAGAAAAAGAGAAGAAAGAGTATCAGAGCAAAAGGTAGTATCTAAAGAAGAGAATGAAGTGTTTTTTCCAAATTCTATGAGAAAACAACTGGTATAATCCAACACAATGAATCTCAAACAGGATTTTTTTCCAAACAAGATTTTTAAAAAGAAAATCCACACTTAGTCAACATTTGGGAAACTGCAAAGCACTAAAGCCAAAATATTATGTGAAAAGCCACCAAAAATAGTTTCTTAAGAAGAGAAAACACACATTTATTACACATACTACCCAGCAATTTCTCTCATAGGTTTTATCCCAAGAGGAATGAAGGTATATATCCACAAAAAATTTTGTACACGAATGTTAGTATCAACTTTATTCAAAATAGACCCAAACTATAAACAATCTAACACTCATCAATCACTGACTAATGAAATTATATTGTATTTACCCAATGAAATATTACTGAGCATAAGGAAAGAACCATTCATATTATGCTATAATAAGGGTAAATATAAAAAAAACTGAGTAAAAGAAGACTTACACAAAATAGTAAGTACTACGGGGATTCCATTTATAAAAAGTTCTAAAATGAGCAAAAATTAACCAGTGACACAGCAGAACAGTAGTTACCTGGGTAGGAAATAAGCAGGCTATGAGGAGACTACAAAGGAGCTCAAGGAGACTTTCTGGGGAGATAAAAATAATTCTGTATCTCAACTAGGACAGGTTGTCACAGATGTACATAAACTTCTCAAAACTCACTGATCTTAGATATATGTAATTGATTGCATATTTCAATAAAGTTTTGTTTTTTTTTAAGCTGCCAGGGGGCAGGTGGTGGTGAGGTGGGTAGAGACTAACTTTCAAGAGGATAAAATACTTTCAGACTACATGATACACAGCAAGACATAGCGAGTGCAAGGACAGAAAACAAGCCACTAAAACACATATTTCAGGTAAAAGGAAAATAATCCCAGCAGAAGTTCTGAGGAAAAAGAAGATATAAAAATGTTAAAAGTGGGGATACAATAAATATTTTAAAAAGCATTATTATCACATGGTTTTTAAAAGCTCTTCTTTCAAAAACATGAAATAGTTTAGGAAATGATTGTTTCCTTTTATCACTGAAGGAGAAATCAAAAAGATGCTGAGAACTTAAGCTTTAGTGAGTATGTTAGAATGTCAAGAGTACCTAGAATTTTTGCATATATGTTAGTACTCACGCTTGGGCTTTAAAGGGATGCAGTTTATTCTACATAAATTATACGCCCTCCCAGAAGTTGATTAAAATAATAAAAAAAACAAGGTTTTTTAGGTTCAAATGAGTAAATGGGGAAAACTGGAAGAAGAAAAAGTAATCCAAATGAAGGCAAGAAAAAGAAAAATACAAAAATAAGATCTTCTAAATTAAACCCCAATATCAGAATAATTATAGATAAATGATCTAAAWGCTCCAGTTAAATGACAAAATTCAGATTCAATTTTAATAATCCAACTAAACTATATGCTCCTTAAAATATATACAGCAAAGGAAAAATAAAAAGCTAAAAATAAGATTTGAAAAGAYACCAGGGAAATAACTAAAGTTAATTAATGTAACTACATTAACATTTTAAAAAACATTTGTTAAAGTCTTACAGATAAAGAAAATAACTTCATATTGATAACAAATGATAACAAGTTTCATTCTAAAGGGAAGAAAACTCATTTACATTATTTTTTTAAAACTTTTTTATTTTTTAGTTGTAGATGGGCACAACACCTTTATTTTAATCATTTATGTGATGCTGAGGATCAAATCCAGTGCCCTACACATGCAACACAAGCACTCTACCACTGAGCCACAACTCCAGCCCCTCATTTACATTTATGCACAATAAGCCTCTATATATATATATATATATATATATATATATATATAAACTAACAAACTTGCAAAGAAAAATATATTCACAATCACTATAAGAAATTTTTAATAGTAATTGATCGAATAAGGAAATTTTCACAGTAATTGATAGAATAAGGATAAAACTTCATAAATATAGAAAAGACACTTTTCAACACAATTAACAATCCTGTCATAATGAGTAAATATACAAGTGTGCCGAACAACTGTAAAACAATTCCTTCTAGGCATCTAGAAATAGTAACAAAGCCTTCGAAACTCAAAGGTTGCAAAATATTATGGTGTGTTCTCTTACTCTACTACAATATGCTAGTAATCAATAAAAATGATAAATTATAATAAAATGGATTCTACTATCATGTATATATAATTAAAAAGARCCAATAAAAAATAAAATTTAAAAAAGCCAATTTTGAAATTACCAGAGAATCAAAGAAAAAAAACATATTGGAAATCAAGTTTCAAAACAAAGATAATGAGGGCTGGGGATGTAGCTCAGTGGGAGAGTGCTTACAAATGAATGTTTATAAGATGCTGTCAGAAAAATAATTATATGGATATTTATAACATAAATATGTATGTATTTATGTTCTTATGTATGAAAAGAAGAAAGGCTGAAAGTCAATGAATATCCATTAAGGTGACACTGAAAAAAAAAACTAATGAATGAAAACAGAACAAATCAACATATGAAATGTTATAAATATATTTAGAGAAAGGGTCATTTTTTAAAAATTCTAAAAATGATTACAGGAACTAGTGCATTGAAATACATAATGGTTAATTTGAATTGTCAACTTGATTGTATTAAGAGAAGCCTATGATTAAGAAGAGGCTATGTATGTATTAGTAACGGTGTGTCTAGGAATGATTGGCATGGGGGATAGCCAAACGAAATGAAGACCCTCCCTAAGCATGAACAGCAACATCTAGTAGGATGACAGCATGGATGGAATAGAAGTTGGAATAATAAGGAAGCAGCAGCAGATGCTCAATTCTTGAATGGGTTCTTGATTGCTGCTGTGATGATCTGTGATGATCAGACTTTCGCTTCTTCACTCTTCCAAAGCGGACTCTGCCACTGATTCTCCAGAAGGCTTTGGTCTTGGCCTAGGGTAGCACCKTTGATCTCTCTTGTTGTGGGGCTTCAGCCTCTTGGACTGTGCAGTTACTGGTTCTTCTAGCTCTCCAGCCTGGAAAGCCACTATGGACTATACAGCTTCTGGTCACATAAGTCAACCTAATAAATCCTCTTTTTATAATTATACTTCCTATTGATTCTGTTCCTCTAGAGAACTCTGACTAAAACAAAAGAGGATTAACTGTGGCAAATAATCTGACTCTTTAAACTTTTCCATGATAACTTTCATGGGAAAAATTTAAAACAAAACTTAAAAGGGGGGAGATAAAAATATAACAATTTATATGGTTAATGCCATTATGCAACCACACATAAATTTAAAAATTCTGCAGTGAAAATGAAGAATTTTGATACTTCCAATATTCTGCCAGGGAGAAACTAGAGCAAATAAAACTACAATTGTCAACCTAATTCCCTTAAATGTGGCTGCCTATTATTTAAATATACACTTCAAAAAATACAGACTAATAATGTAGTGAAAGAGCACATTCCTCTAAAACTAAAAAATTAGATAATCAAGTACTAAAACAACTACTTTAGAAATGACTACAACTTTAAAAGGACAGTAAGGTCCCCTAAAAGTCTGCTGATAATTAACTTTAATAATAATATATGCTGCCTTCAAATACCATCCATTTTGTCTCCTCTAGCCATTGTGTGGTAGACTTACACATCTGGAAACAAAATGGGTGGTGCTCAGGATTCAAACATAAATCATTTTAAGCTTCAATGGGTGATGTTGAAAGCAATAGGCAAATCAGAGTAGGAAAAGTCATAATCCAAATTAACTTCATTTATGTATAACATCTTATAATCTGCCAGAAATTGATATAAGAATGGCTGAATAAAATTTTTTCAAACACTTCTTCTCTGGAATCAACCAATCTTTTTAACACTTGGCAGTACATCCCTTAATATTGCTGCCTATTATTCAAATATACATTTCAAATACTAGAGACTAACATACTGAAAGAGTATGTTCCTCTGAAACTTAAAAATGAGAAAGGTAATCAAATGCTAACACAACTATTTTAGAAATAATTTTCCAACTACACCAATACAAGACAAYGTGCCATTTTCTATACATTATAGAAATATTTTAACTATTTTATATAAAATTTACTAGGAAAATATACAATGAATTATTAAATGTATACTAATTGAAATATCTTCTTTTGGCTACACACAGKAAAAAGAACTAACTTAGGGGACTTTCCAGAGCYCTTACACTTAGGCCTGTCTTTACAATATGACCACATCTAGTCAGACCAAAAGTGAATACCTGCTTAAAGAGCAGGAAAACTATAGAAGGAGGTAGCCAGCTGTTCAAAAGTTGCTATGTTGGATACCTTCAAGACTAGCTTATTCTGGATAATAAATTATTAGGAAACAGGGAATCTAAAGGTAGACATGCAGCATGATCTAAAAGAAAGAAGTACCTTATGAAAGAACGAAAACCAAAATYCTGGTCTTGACACCTATTATAAAATTACACTTCTCTATTCCCACATTGACTTATGATCACATTATGTACACATAATATGTGATTTCTTCACATAATAATCAATGCCCTCCCAGATGCCCTCCTTAAAAAATATGTTTTATGCCTTGATTTAGCAGTATTTGTTATCTCTGGGGTTTTACTTTAAAACGATTGTTAGCTAGACGTGAACACATTAAAAAGAGCAGACGGATAATTGCTATTGGTTGAATGAAAGAAAATTACTCCATACCCTTTCCCAAATGCATCTTTCTGCCTCCTTCTCTCTTTTTCTTTTGTTTTGTTTTATTTCCTTTCCTTGCATGGGTTAGGGTGGACCTCCCTGATTCCTTACCTCCTTCTCTTATTCCTAATTTCAAAGTAGCTTCCAAAGCACTTCAAATCTACAGGAAATCTCAAACACTGGGGCCAAGGGGAGAGGGGTAGTGCCTCATCTATTACTACTGTATCCAAGGCTCATAAGTTCTTTCGAAAACAGAAACCTGAGCAATTAGAACTTTAGAACAGTGAAATGTAAATAGATATTTCTTGTTCTTTTGTTTTTTCCCCCTCACATATAGCCTCACATTAAAGCCTTCTTTAAGCAACTGGGAATTAAGTATGGAATTTAGGGAGCAATAAGTTCATAAAAAACGCTAATCAAATCTTAGAGACTGTCTGGTTCAAACTTATTTTAAGATCCTGAACCATTTCAAAGACTTATCTAAGGAACCACATGTCARCAACAGAGCAAAAAAAATAAAATAAAACAAAGGCATTCTATCCATCTACAACTACAAAAAAAAAATAAAATAAAATTTTAAAAGAGGGGGGATTCTTAAAAAATAAAAAATGTGATGCACCAGCTGGGTACAGTGGCATGCGCATGTAATCCCAGTGGCTCAGGAGGCTGAGGCAGGAGGATTTCGAGTTCAATGACAGCCTCAGCAATTTAGCAAGGCCCTAAGCAGGACCCTCTTTCAAAATAAAAAAATTAAAAGGACTAGGGATGAGGCTCAGTGGTTAAGCACCCTTGGGTTGAATACCTGGTACAAAAAAAAAAAAAAAGAAGGGGAGAGATGTATCAAAGTAAGAATGAATTGTAAAACTAGAATCCWCCTCCACTCATTTTGAAGATAAGCAATTTTGCAGCATGGAATGTTGACATTAATYATCCAATATCACTCAGAAAAGCAATACTACTTCCAGTTCTCGGTGGACACAATAGTTTTAGTTTTTAGGTGGATACAAAATCTTTATTTTACATTCATGTGGTACTGAGGATCGAACCCAGTGCCTCGTGCATGCTAGACGAGCACTCTATCACTGAACCACAACCCCTGCCCCTTACTTACATTTTTGTAAATGAAAAACAGTGACTATACGYCTGAGAAAGAGGGGAACATTTTTTTTTGTTAAAAATCAATGAACATTCAAATTTTCTGTTTGTACCTGAAAATCATCAACAAGTTCAGGGAAGAGGTGTTCATACATTTTTAGTTCTTCTATGGTTCGTCCTGGTACTTGCTGGGGTTTTAATTTGTTGATATCTGTTTCAATATCATCATTCTGAAATAATTAAAATAGCATGTCAACAGTTTTAAAAAATACAAAAATTACAGAATACACTTCAGATTTAAATGTTACAAATTATTAATTACATGTAATTTAGAATACCACTGAAAAAGATTGTATTGACTTTATCTCAAATTCAAATTTGCTTACTCTTTTTTTATTGTTGAATTTTGCTTAATTTTGGTCATGGTTATTCTAATATAACAGGATACTTGAACTTCTCAAGACAAATACCTGTGTTAWTAAGACCAAGGTTAAGTTTGTTCTCCTCAATCTCCCTAACTGCCCTCATGTTGGACTTATTAAAGGTCAATAAAACTTAGGAAAACGAGGAGCTGGGGCTATAGCTCAGCGGTAGAGCGCTTGCCTCACACATGTGTGGCACTGGGTTCAATCATCAGCACCACATAAAAATAAATAATGTTACTGTGTCCTTCTACACTAAAAAGTAAATTTAACAAAATATTTTTTAAAAACTTAGGAAAACGAAATTGAAAAACGTATATATAATGAAGGTGGCAATAATCAAAATAGCTAACATTTATTAAACACTGAAAATACATGAAGCACTACACTACGTATTTTACACATATTATCTAATTTAATCTACATATATAAAAAACACTAATGAAGTAGTATCATTAGCTCCATTTAACTGAGAAGGAAAATGACATTAAGAAAAGTCAAGRAGCTTGCTAAAAGTTACACATCTTACAAAGAGATAACCAGAGTGCAAAATTTGTCAAAGTGATCTGAAAACAAACACCATACACAGCTAAGTAAGTAAGATGTACTGCCTCAATATCAACTAAGAATTATCACCCACTTTAAAACTCTCTGGTAAATAAAGTTCCCTTAGAAAAACTCAGTGTTGCTATTCACTGTTTTTCAGGTAGAAAGCTATTTTCTAGGATCCTTAACAACTCACCCCATACAAATACAAAATCATCATTACCTCCACAGATCACTAAAGAGAGATATAATAAGACCACTTATTACTTTTCAGTTCATACTATTTTTAATTTTCTATTTATCTTAGTACCAAAATAAATTACTTTTTAGTATTAAAATAAATTTAATTTAATACATTTCAATCCTTATATACGTTTCTGACTATATTTACACATAACTAGTRATTTAAAAGGAAAAATATACTGTATGCTTCTTGTTATTTCATATCAGGGATTTAGCAGTTATTTACATAACAATGAATGAGATTTTTCTCATTGCCATAAATAATAAAAATTGATTTTATTTAAATAATATTGTTAGAATATCACTGTATAATTATTACTACATGAATGTCATTTCATCTGTTATGCATTTATGAACCAATAATGTAATTATTTTCTKGATTAACATTTAATAAGACAGATAATGATTCCAAAATAAAATAATTAACAAAGGTAGTCTTTCTCTGAACACACTCATTCAATATTTAAAGTTATTTTGTGAAAATAGAGCCTTCCATTGTATAGTAGCTGTCTAATATAAAAAATGAAAACTACTATAATAAAATAAGCATAGTGAGGAAAGAAAACTATTACTCTGAAAGCTCAATAGCAGGAAATTTTCTATTTGAGTTTGAGGAAAAAACAGAAGAGCTACTGATAGGCTCATCAAAAACAAACCAGCCTGCTACTACTCCTTAAAATTTTCCAAAGTTAAGAAAGGAACAAAGAATGTACTGAAGAAGTCTGTGCCTATCTGGAGATGTCTTCTAGAATCCCCAGGTTTCTATAAACACTCCAGACTGTAAAATCTGGGACAAACAAAATAGAATCATGATGAAGAAAGAAATCTGAGACTACAATCACAAGATAATACAAATAAATATTACAACCACTACAATGTAGCAGTTCAATAGAAGCACAAAAGAAGTTATAGGATTCAGGTAAAAATAGGAAAAATGAGGAAATTTCCAGTGTTAACAGCCAAAAAAGTAAAAGGCAGCAAAAGAAAAGGGAAGAAAGGAGATTAATACAGCTCAGCAGTCTCAAAAAGCCAACAATTCTGTAGCCCTTGAAGAAAAGTAATATTTTAGTAGACTTATACAGCARTAGTAAAGAGCCAGCATTCCACAGACTAATTTCTGAATCCTGGCTCTATCTCTTAGAAGTTAGACTGATAATGTCTCAGGGCCTCTGTTTTCTATACTGTTATTAGGATTTCAAGGTTAACATATGTAAAGACCTTTGAGTAGCAAGGGTTAAGTGTTCAGTAAATATTACTACTATTTTTATTATAACTGGTGTGTTAAGGTAAAGTAGGGAAAATTTTACCAATCACTGACACCCCAGTTGTAAGCCAACAACTCTAGTTTTCAAAAATGTCAATGTCACAAGCAAAGAAATCTATGCAAATTAAAGGTTACTAAGTAGACAGGACAAGTGACAAAATGTAATACAGATGACARATTAGACAAGTGTCACTGTAAACTTATGAAGCTGTTAACTATATATGGTTATATTGATGTATTTATGGAAAAAAACACCAAGATAAATGATACATGCAACATCCTCGCAAATAGTAAAAAAATATTTTAAGTGTGTTATTTGTGTGTATATGTCTACAATTTTCCAGAAGCAAACTCAGTTGCTGTTATAATTCCTATTGAGTTTTATTCCTCACCAATTTCTGTTTTTATATCTCTGATAACAGATATTTGAAATAAGAACTCTGAGACATGAAATATGAATTATACTGAATATATTTTGTTTTTAACAGATTTGAAAATATGTAAGAAAGATTCCTATTAAGAGGCAATATTTTAAAAGTTATTCTGGAAAATGTGGTATTAAGCTAGGAAATTTTACTTCCCCCAAATACTCACTTTCCAAAGAATCCAGATTACATTTTATATAGCTCATCTTATCTAAGGCACATTTTTATAGAGAAAATTTAAATTCTAACTGGGATTCTAATAGTTCTTTCTCTTATATCAGGTTCAGAGCCAAAAATGTGGTTCCCCYAAATGCCTTGACCATCAAAGCCTGAACTATTTTCCTTCTTGAGGTCAGATGCAGACACTGACTTGGCTAATTTGATAATTCTGCCAAAGCATGCCTTCGTGATCACATCTGGTTCTATAATGAAATTGATGAAACTGGTTCTATATTTGCTATTACAATAGAAATTTTCAGTATCTTCAATTCAGGAGAGTCGAATACTTACTTAGTATGCCCTATTTTTAATGCAATATTTCAAGATCTAAAAAGAAAAAGCCTAAGCAGGCAGGAGTCTAAGCCTCCCTCGCCAGWAAATCATACTACGCAATAAGCCAAACAGTTTAAAAATTAAAGAGACCATTTTCTACAGATGTTATAGTAGCCCCCTTTACCATTAAATAACACAGAGCAGTTTCTAAGTTTTCAGAAGTGCCATAAAATTCTGATACCCACCTGCTTATTTTACCTACATCTCTTGTAATATGACAATAATTTCACATTTTCTCAATTCAGAAAATAGTTCCCATCTTTTGCAATTAACTAAAACCTAAAAATCGTTAAGTAAACACAAATTCTAACAAAAATGCATCAGTTTTAGATTATATTTTCCTACTATTTTTATATCCCAGACTGTTGACGAAGAGTAATGCATTTTGAAATAAGTTTGCAAAATAGAGTCTCAAACTTTAGATCTTAACCTTTCCTTAGATTTCCTTAGGTTTCAAAATCTAAGTAAGAGGGTTAAATAAAATCTTTCTGGTCAAAAACAGTGAAAAAAATTTCTTTAGGGTCTGTTTCAGATAAGTGGATTTAAAGCAGCCTTAGTTTTTCAATTACTTAGTGTCCATAATAAGCTTTAACAAAACAATATGGATTAAAACAAATTGGTCTACCATTGTGTGTGTGTGTGTGTGTGTGTATATGTGTGTGTGTGTGTGTGTGTGTGTGTGTTTCCCAAACCTTTGTTTTACAACTGAAGTATATAATTTACAAAGGTGACTAATAAAAATTTACTAACCTTAAAATTTTGATCTAGGTCATCTTCATTTTCCATCTCACTTTCAGCTTCTAAATCAATATCATCGTTGTCATCACTTTCATCTACTACGTCATCCACTGTGATACAAAATGTGCTATAAGTAAGCATTCTACAATATGCACATTCAAAGCAGAATGTTATATGCATGAAGTATTTCAATAACAAAAATAAATGAGATTTCTTACTAAAAAAGTCACTAAGGCTCAACCAACTATTGGAAAAACCTATGAGATAGTATGTGAAAGTGCTTTTAAATTTAGCAAAYATTACAAGAATAAATTAGTTTTTTTATTAATGTTCTCAGTTTAAAGAAAAATAGTAAATGTCTTATCTTACAGTATCCTGAATGAAACATCCTGTTTCCTATTTATGATAAATTTCAATGACTCACTTCATCCTTTTATAATTACCCTCCTGTTTATTTCAATAACTATGTGCCAAATACTATGTTGTATGTAAGAAATATTTTTAGAGATGTGTTAATATAATCTCTACCCTCAGGGAGCTCATGAGGCTTGAGAGCAGAAAGAGCAAAGAAGTAATTATAAATACAGAAGAAAAATGTTACTGAGGGCATAAAATTCAAAATTCTATGGGAAAACAAAGRTGTAATAACTAACTGCAAACTGCTTAAAGCTAAGGGATTGATCACTTCACAGAACAGGTGGTACTTAAGCAGTAACTCAAAGTAAGTATAACAGATTTCTAAGTAAATATAAAGGTGGGTAGGTATGGTTTTTAAGAAGAAGAAATAATAATTCTAGAATAATGAAATAAGATGATATCTTTGGAATATAACGAGTAGGACTAGCATGCACTATCTGATTAGGAAAGTACTAAAAGGCAAGTAAGAATAAGAAAATGAAGATTATAATAATGTAGACCATAGTTTAGATTTTTTTAACCTACAAAAGATAAGCACTGAAGATTTTCAAGAGGAAAATGGTTTAATTCAACTTGCATTTTCAAATGATCATTCTGGCAGGTGTGAGAGAGGGAGCATATGAGTGGAGCAAGGCCAATTAATAGAAGGGAAGACAAAACCTAACTAAAACAATATTAACAATAATAGGAATGAAGGAAGAATACACTTTAAAGAAGAACTCAAAGAAGAGAATGTAAAAAAAAGAAAAAGAAAAACAAGGTCCACGGATGTGGGGAAGACAAGGGAAAAACAGCAAGAGTACTTTGAGGTTTCTCATGTAAGCATCAGTGCTTGTAAACAATACAGAAAATATTTGTTTAAAGATATCTCCCCAAATTCTTTTGACTTCCATTTACAATGTGATATATATAGTAAAGATTATTGACTATCCCTTTAGAATCTGCTCTCCTTTCCTTTCTTTTACTAACAGAACCTCTGCAACAGGGATTCCAGCCTCCAATGCAGTATTTACAGTCATTCATATGAATGATTTTTGGCCATGGGTGAATGATGCAAAAATACAAATCACAGGTCCCATTCTTTAAAAAGAAAATTGTCCTCACCATTCTTTTTTTCATTCCCATTTTCCACATACACATGAGGAAACCACCATAGGAAATAATTAAAAACATCCTTTGATGACCTAGTACAACAGAGGTCTACTGCCTAGGTTATAGGCAATCTTCTTGATACACATTTGAAGGAGAAAAAAAAAAAAACTTTCTAACTTGAGGTAGCATAGCAAAGGGGATCTGGGGACAGAATTCCTGTATTCAAAGCCTGGCTACCCAACTTACTGGCTATTTGATCTTAAGCAGTCACATAAGTTATTTGTATCTTAGTTTCCTCATCTAAAAAAAAAAAAACGAATATGCTGACTCCCAATGTTCTTGTATTGTAAGACTTAATATGTAAACTTTCAGGCAAAGACTGTGTTATAAAAATTTTTATGATAATTATTTGTGTAATATGCTATTGGGCTACTTTAACAGTATCAAATTGTCTAAAATTCTTTTCTGAAATAACAAAAAAATGTGTATTCATATTGCATATGGTAACCTGGGTCTATTTATACCTATACCCTAACAACAGTCAATCATGAATAAACAAGAACTGACATTTGGAGAAAGAGAGGGAACAAAGAACATCTTAGGAAAAAGTTAAGGGACTGAATTTAGTAAAGCCTACTATAAACAGGAAAAATTATTTCTTGGACAGTGAGAAAGGGAAATACAGTTCAACTTCTGAGACAAATTATGTTTTTAATTTTTATCCAAAACTTTTCTAATATTTCCTTTATAYAGTATTTTCCTTTGGGTTTATACCCCAAATATGAAATATCAAATATCATACAGCTTAGAGTATTCCAAATATGCAATGGAATTCTTATAGCATTACCAATAATTAATAACATTAATTACTGTAGTTTAATCAAAAAATTAAAACCAGGGAATATACATCAAAATTCTGGTTACTCACTTCTAAAATATCTGTATCTTGTTAATATGAAAAAGTGAAATATAGGAAACAAATATCTTTTAGTAAGAAACTAGTTAGATAAATTATACTACATCCTTATAATGTAACCATTAAAAGAAATGAGTCAAACTTTCTTGCAGACAAGTTATGTGCAAGTTTTCATTGAGCATAAACTATAACAATTAGGGGGATTCAGTTTTTTCTAACTTAAAAAAAAAGTTCACTAATGTGCAACAAATGTAAACCTAAACATAATTACCAAAACRTTTAATGTTCTTAACTTATATTTTGAGACTTTATATAAAGTATCAACTAATGTTCTTAAGTGATATTTAAAGTTTCTCATAATGGACATTTACATATATGTAAAACATCCTATGCTATTTCCCTAAATTAGTAGAGTTCAATTTCTCATATTAAAGAAATATTTATTAACTAAAATAATATGTAAAGGTTTATCAGGTTCATTAAAACCCTCTTTGCCAAATAATTAGGCACAAATAAAGAAAAACTATCAACAGACACACCGCTCCAATGGGAGACAGCATTCACCCTGTGGTCCTACCTTCAGGTGGTAAACTGTACAACTGTGCCACAGGTCCAGTAACAGGAATAACTGGCAACTGGAAATGGAAAGAACTCTTAATCGTTGGGAGTGGCAGGCGATTTTTGGGGAAACACTTCCTCATTATAAGACTGGAGGTGTTGACAAGAGGATCAAGAGTCCTGACTGCCAAACATTCCTGTTTAAAAAAAAAAAAAAAGACAATATATCTTTGGTGAGTAGCAAAACCAATTGTACTTTATTCCAGAAAAAGAAAATTTACGTTAAAATTTTTCTAGAGACAAACATCACAAAAACCAATATTACAACACAGGATAATTGTAAAACAGCTTTACTGTTCACAGTGTCTATTTATAAACAGGAATATCATGTAGGGCAAATTTAGTAGAACTTTTCCCTAAACATCTTAACTATGCAGAAGTCAGTACCATTTTTGATACTGAAAGTCACCATAGTACTATATATAAATTATTTAGGGGACATGAGAAGGGGGAAAAATATTAAGAAAGTAAGAAATATAAGCAAACATGCATCTGCCTGAAATGCTCTCAGAACTATATCAGTTTTCATACAATGCACCTCTCATAAGTTGGCTATTCAGCTTATGCAAGAACAGCCTAAATACACTAATTTAAAAATTTAAGAGTGATTTGCTGCCAGAAAATCTATTTTGAGAAGGGTGAAGACATAGGGGATTTCAATTATGTCATATTATATTATTATTAGTTAACAGCTGACATTCAGATGGCACTTTTGATACATAGTAAAATTTTCAATACACAGTTTCACATTTGATCTGTCAAAACAAATGAGAAATTAAGGCCCAAATATATTAAGTCACCTAACTATTCCTCATAATATCAAATATCCATCATTGTCTGGATTAGGAAGAGTAAAAACAGGTATATAGATGATTGCTCTAAAAAATACTAAGGGTAAACATAAAACATGTGTTTGGACATTTAACTATTGTCATGTAGAAAGATGATTTATCATGAGTAAAAGCCAAGACCGCACAACCAGGATAACTATCTGGCATTTTCTAATGGACAAATTTATGAACTTCTAAAAACAAGAGGGTTGCATTACAACATTCCTATAGCCCATACCTGAGTCTTCTACAGATGCTAGAAAACATCTCACTAAATATACTGTCAAAAATGTTTAATGCTGAAGATGGCTGGCAGAACTAGAACTCCAGGTTTCCCTACAGTAGCTTCTCTATTTATTCTTATTCTTATTTCCCAGCAGGAAAATAAGCAGAATACTCAAAAACAACAGAATTGCCCTAACAGCTGTATAGGATCTACATAAAACTGAGTTATATACAGCTGACTACACATTCTAGAAAGTTATATGGAATCCAATAGGTGATTTTATACWTCTTCCTTTAATCTTTTGGGGGCAMAATCTCACATTGCAGAGATGTGCACTGACTACCTTCTCAAATTCAGTCTGAGTTCACATGTGAGAAATAATTGTGCCTTTTGGTTTTGATATTTTTTAAATATTAATATATATCATATATCCTTTCTGAGTATTTGCAAATTAATTTTCTGAAGAACCAAACCATATCACTAGAACATAAGTAGAGTAATAGTAAGAAAATAACTCACTTGTGAAGTGTTATACAGAATTTTCATCCCATTGGCATCAATAAATGCTTTTCTTCCCAACTTGATGTTTGTAACACTTTTTAAGCTCTGTAAAATTCCTTTCCGAATGAGCATGTTTCTATGCCGATTATCATGGCGATGCCAATCTACATAAATTGTTAAAAGCACTTGGACATATCCTCTGTCTACAGCTCTCCTGGCATTTGTTTCTTTAACAAAAGAAATTGAGAAAGAATATTGTTTAAATGACAAGAGAAAGTACTGGAATAAATCAAATTAAAAGTATAACCTCAACTGTGATGAAAGGCAACTACATATTTAAATATGTTTTTCTAAGAAATTAAATATGACAAGTTCCAGAAAGCATTACGTTTTCYAGAAATTTTCCTGCCCATATATTATTTAATGATTTCTAAATACCAAAATTCTTCATTAAATTATGTTTACATCTTTTTAAACCAAAAAAACTTCCTATATTTTAAAACTTATGAATATACTGACAATAAACCAAATGAAATGTATAAGCTTTTAACTTACTAGCTGTGAATATTATTTTGTTAAATGCTGTTATCACTTTTATTAACTTCTGTCACAAAATTGGTATTCCCAATGAAATTACCACCATTAAAATGTAATTCCTATACAAACTTTGTTTCCACTGAAATTAATTGCTCTAGTTATCCCACAATTATATAAACATCTATGCCATAACAATACTAAGTTAAAAATACTTAAACAACTTTGCAGTAAGTAAATGAAAGGGAAGGAGCATTACATGATTAGAAAATAGTCATTCGAGGAATTAAATTTTGAATATAATGAGAACTACATTAAAGGTTTTCTGTAAATGATCAATTTGATTGGGATATAATTAACAGAAATGGATCCACAAATTCAACCTTATTTTATTATTTTTAAAGTATTAATATTTAAAATTATTAACCAAAAGAGTGCATTTTACTAAGATAGAAGCAAAGAAATTATATCRTAGCAACATATTGAGCCACCCAGTGTTACTTTGGAGAGTGGATAATAAAGGCTACAACTTTGAATATTAATCCATCTCATGTTGTTTAACTACAATGAAATTCTGATTTCTTTTTTTTCCCCCCTCTCTTTTTTGCAGTGCTGGGGACTGAACCCAGGGCCTAGTGCATGCTAGGTAAGCACTCTACCACTAAGCTAAATCACCAGCCCTCTAGTCTCTTCTTAATCTCAATTTCACCCACAAAATGACCTCTGATCTATGGCCTGGACATGAAGAAGATAATGATTTGAGTTGCCTGAAAGAATTATTCTATTGTCCAAGTAAGCCAAAACTGAGATAAACATACTAATTCCCTTTCAGAACTATATTCTGTTATTAGAGAAGGAAGAAACTCATCAAGGGAAGAAACACCTCTCTCATATGTGAAAGCTTTTAAATCCCTATTGTAAATATTGCTAATTTACTAAGGCTGTGGCTATTTACAAAATCCGTTCAATTGAATTTTTTGTTTTGTTTTGGGTACCAGGGATTGAACTCAGGGACACTCAACCACTGAGCCACATCCCCAGCTCTATTTTGTATTTTATTTAGAGATGGGGTCTCACAGAGTTGCTGCTGAGGGTATCTCTCAATAAGTTGCTGAGGCAGTCCTTGAATGTGAGATTCTCCTGCCTCAGCCCCCTGAGYTGCTTGGATTACAGGAATGCTCCACTGTGCCTGCAGTTCAATTGTTTTGACCAACAAACATTTCATATATTTAAATGAATATACACTTTGTTTATACCAACTGAAATTTACAAGCCTTTACTAGCTGTAAACACGATTTTGCTAAAAGCTACTATGATCACTGTAACTATTACAAACTATGCGTTTTTGTGGGAATTCCCAATAGTCCAAATGGTCTTCATGAAAAATGTTTAAATTCTTTATGAAAGATCAAATAAGAAACTTAGCTATAACTCAAAAATGTACTGAGGTGATCCTTAAAGGAAATGAACAGAGCCACCTACAGTCTGCACTGAGCACAATTAAAACAGATTATACAGGGATTTTTATTCATGTGTTCAGGGCATACAACTCACTATTGGCCTATTTCCTCATCTCTAATTAAAAGAAAATTTAAGTTTACCAGCACTGATAACTGAACTGTCTATCCACATTTATTTCAGTAGTCAAATTTATTCTTTTAAAGTAAATTATTGTTGCCCCACACACAAAAAAAGGAATTTTTGAAAATATAAATAAGTAAAAATGCTCCAAAATGCAATGGACCATTTAAATAAATGTAATGTGCTACTAAATATTATTTTTTAATTATTAAATTTCATCTTATTTAATGTCATATATAATTTGAAACTACATTAAATATAAACCACTTATCAATTACTTTTTTTATCCTGATAGACTAAACAAGTATGTCTGCCCAGCATTCTTCTTTAAAAAGAAGAGAGGGTATAAAAGGAAGACTATTATTTAAAACTGAAAAACATCAGACTTCAATCAGGTTAATCAATTTCTACAAAATATTTGAAACTTCTGAGAGTTTTAGTTTGCACTGACTCAGAATTAATAACTCTGTTATCAATGATTCAGAAAATTAGTATGCTTTAATAAACTTTTAAATAGCTATTCTAATCCATTTCAAATCAGATTTACTCTTTATACAATTTGAATTAAAAAATCAGAGACAACAAAGCAAGGTGACAAATAATCAGTAAATTCATATATGTGATCTTGGTTTAAAGTTTACCATATCACATGAAAATAAAGCTACAGAGTCAACCTACATGAGTATTGTGTGTTTCATTTCAAGAGTAAATTTGTTAAGTGAAAACTCAGGTGTATAAATACTATGGTGATTTCTGAAATTTAACAAGACATCACTTTACTAAATATCAGATTTTAAATAATTATTTGCTAGTATTTAAAAAAAACACAATTCTAACAATTCAGATTTAAGGGCAAGTAGGTCTCATCCTTGAAAGATCTTGAATAAATGCCTATCTTAGGAGGAGGGAGAAGGGAACTCCATCAACAGGTTAAATGTTAAGACTCAATGTTAATTTATTCAATCAATCATCCATAAGACTAACAATGGGGGATTTGAGGGGTGGGGGCAGTGAACTGGGGATTGAACCCAGGGTCTTGTACATGCCAGGAAAGTGCTCTACCACCAGGCTATATCCCCAGCCCTGAATATGAAATTTAAAATAGATACTGAAAAAAAATGTAGAGGGGGGAAAAATGATTATTCTCCAAAAGCATCATAAGACACATTCTACTCTAATGCCTTAATTGTTAAGATAAAGTAATTTATTTTCTAAATAAATTTTTTAGACTATACATCTACATTAACAGCCACTTTTTAAATGTTATCAATTTGAATTTGTGCAAGAAATAAAATTTCTATTAAAAGGCTCTAGGTTAAAATCAAGTTATATTTCTCATAATAAAAATTCTCAATATCATGTTAGTTTTACTCTTCCGATAAATGATACATGATATTTATTTATTTTACTCTATTAATATAGCTTCATGTTTATATAAATACCTTAGAAATAGGAAATCAATGTGCTTAAATAAATTACACAAATGTACTGAACAAATTATAACTCAAAAAACATATAGCATTAGTAATATATATCAACTTCACTAGAAGATGAAATCAATTTCAACAATAGAATATTAAAAATCAGCTTTAAAACTAAACTAAATCTATATTTCCAGTTTCTTTAACATAGTAAATAGAATGCTCAGGAAAATAGTATCTAGTATTTCTAGTATTTAAAAACTTACTTGATTTTAGCAATGCAGCAAGAGTGTCTAAAGCAACCCTGTCAACACAACAAGAAAACACAAACAACAACAAAACTAGTAAAATTAATCTACAATAGTAAATTCATACAATCTTCTCAGACAAGTAATTCTATTAATCTATTCCAAACTTATTCTTGTTAAGAGCATCAATTACATATGGTGTTTCTCCATATTCATTTTCCCTTCCGCTTCAAATTAGATATGAAGAAGACTGAAACAGTAAAAGTACCAAAAATTTTTAAGAAAGAAAAAGAAGAAAATTAACATTGTCTAAGTCTTTTTGTCAGAAGTTACATGAATGATATGTATCACTGACCCTGAGAAAATTCACAAAGAAACCATACTATCAAGAATCATTGGCCCTGGCTTGTAAAGGTATTAAAAGAAAAACAAGTTTCAACAGATTAATTTCATAACTGCAAAATTCTATAGATAATTTCTTAACTTTCTGACATTAAAGTGTTTCAGTTCTATCAAGCTATCATCCTCATATTTAAGTAATACAACAAGTGTAAAACATTTTGGAACYGAGAAGTTTGGAAAAGAAGAATGAGCCCTTAATGTCAGCCATGAGGCACCAAAGAAAGTAACTATTATCTCAAAAATTCTTATATCCACAGAGAAGACAAAGGAATAGTCCTAAAAATTGAATATACATATATTATATTTTTGAACATAAATACTCACAGTGAAATCAGCTGCCATTAATCAGCTATAAAAATATATATCACTGTGGAAAACCTGTAATTCAAGTTGTTTTTTAAAAATAAATTACTGAAAAAATGACAATTTCAATAATTTTAAAAATGCAAGGCTATAAACTATAGTACCTTTAAGTGAGAAATCAACAACTACAGTTAATTTATATTAAAAATATGTATGCTATCAAACTTAACTAAGCATTTCACTCACAATTAAGCATTTGTTGAATGCCTACTAGACACCCACAGTACCAAGTTCTTCATGGGTATAAAATTTAAAAACAAGCTCATCTCTTCAACAGGTAATTTTACAATCTACATAATGTAATAAAATATGTACCTATGAAAAAACTACTCAGGAGATTAAAACCAAAAACAAGGCAATAAAGTAAAAGTTGCATACATTAATGATAAAATAGAGGCAGCATGACCAAATGCAGGAAAAGGTAAAGAGCTAATGAATCAGAAGATTTAAGATGGACATTGGTTCACAGTAATACCTGAAACAATCATCCATGACTACGTACCAAGTAAATACTCAGCAAAAGACCAGTAAAAGGAAGTTCTTAATACTTACACTTTAGTTTGATATAAATAAAGCAAACGTGAACCTTTATTTATAATAATATTCATAGAGTAAAAACTTTTAAAAATATCATAAATTCATACCTATAATTTTCTCAAAACAATATGAAATGTTGGTAATGGTGAGTTAAAAGTAAATGAACATTGTGAAATTATGTGTTGAATTTTCATTGCATTGAACAAATCATCAGTAAGGAGCTGTCATATTTTCATAGTTGTGCAATAAAATGCACAAAAGAGTGTTTAAAACTATCAGAATAAGGATGGAGAGTGATATTAAAATGGGTCAAAATTAAATATAGAACTAAATAGATCTTCGAAATGAACCTGTTCTTTATAAAAMCTAAAATGGAAAAGAAAATGACATTCAGTAAAACCTGAAAAATGCCAGATAGCATTGTAGGTACTTTAATTCTTCAAACAGTTCTGGTCTACAGAATTGACAATGAACACGGAAAATAAAAAAAAAAAATTAAAATATGACATGCCTAGAGCCAAATAAAAACTTAATGGTATGGAAATTGAATACTATAAGGTATTTATTGAGAAAGGAATTACAAAATCAGAAAGGCCTCCCTTTAAGAAGGCAACCAGACCCACAAAGTGAACAAGGCTGGACTCCACACACCTCCAACCCACTTCACCTGTGGTCCTTCAGGCAGCTTCCCAGATTCACACAGTCTCCTGGAGGCCACAGTAAGGGCCCAAGGCCCATACACAGGGCAGTGATGATCATGGTTGGCTAGGCTATGGTCCTACCAGGGCAAGCCAGGGCACTGAGGGAGCACCTTCTGTCTTGGCAGTGGCTACCTATTCAGGTGATGAGGAAGACTCATCACCCAGCATAGAAGGCAGCTGCCACTGGACACCTCCATTACTTGACCACAAGAAGGGCTAGGGCTTCACTCAGAGTTCTAAGGCTTCTGCAGCCCTGCCGCCACTCTGGACCCTGCCTCTGCCTCTTCTGGAATGATTTGTGGATTTTGACTCCTGTTACTGTAACCTGCAAATCCAAGAGACACATCAATCTGGAAGACAAGAGAAGAGAACTGCTTCTTCAGAATCAAAAGAAGACTGGCGTGCTACCTCTGGGGAATTCCCAGAGGCATACCTTGCCATACCTGGAGCCAAACAAAGAGCATGCTTGCTAGAAAGGCTTCCTGTCAGTTGTGTAGAAGACAGAATGACATTCTGACTCAAGGGGAAGCTGTGCAGGTTCACAACCAATCAGTGCCATCTCACCTTCAAAGACTGGGGACATACTGTGCAGTCCTTTTTGTAGAAGTGAGAAGTACAAGATTACTCTGCAAGAAGAAGATTCCAGGGACTTAAAAACACAAAGGCTTGCACATTGGTARCCCTCTGAAATGTTGACAATCAGGTTCTAAAAAAAAGTTCTATATTAAAGTTATGGAATTTATGTGAAAGTAAATGTCACTTTATAAACAATAACAACACAGAATGAAGAACATTATCYGAGAAGAAACCTTCTATCAACTGATAAGCAGCAAAGTTTCTTGTTTGGACCTTAAACTTGTCCATTAGAGGAAGAATGAAATAGATTGCCAAAATGGCCAAATAAGATATTATGAATCCTCTAACTATAGTRGTTGCAAGGAAATTATCCCTCCAAATCATGATACCAATAGGAAAATGACCTCCAAGTGCTTTGTGTGTTTTCTGAGAGAACAGAACCAAATGCATCAGAAAAACCACATAGCTGAGAAGCCCTACAAATGTGACAAGTGTGATAAGAAATTTTTTTCATATATCGGAACTTCATAAACACAGGACAGACCACACAGGAAAAAAGGTCTATAAACGTGATGATTGAGATAAAAAAACTAAAATCTATATGTACTAAATGTTTAAGAGCCCAATATTATAAAACAAATACTACTAGAAATAAAGAAAGAGAAAGGCCCCACTCAATACAGTAACAGGGACTTCAATACCACACTCTCCAACATCATAGTGAAAAGTGACAAACTGATTTCAAGGCATACTTCAGAGCCATAATAACAAAACTGGCATAAAATCAGATCCACAGGCCAACRGAACAAAACAGAATGCCCAGAAATTAATCCACACGTCTTTAGCTAACTGGTTCTTCAGAAAGGTGCCAAAAACAGACTACTGAAGAAAAGACAGCTTCATAAATAGTGCTGGAAAACTGGATATCTCCATGTAGCTGAAACATAATCCATATCTCTCACCTTGTACAAAAATCAACTCAAAGTAGATCAAAGACCTTAGTGTGGGACTTAAAACTCTACTAGAAAAARACATAGCAAAAACAATTCAAGATACTAGCACAGACAATAATTTCCTGAATACAATTCCAAAAACACAAGATAAAAAGAGAAGGTGAATGGGATTCCATCAAGTTAAAAAGCTTCTACATAGCTAAGGAAATAGTCAACACAGTGAAAAGACACCTACAGACTGGGAGAAAATCTGACAGCTATTTTTCTGACAAAGAATTAATATCCAAAATATATTTTAATACACAAAAAGTGACCAACAAAAAAAAACAAGCAATCTAATAAAAAAATGGCAATCTGGATCATTAGCCATCAGGAAAAATGCTATTCAAAAGTACAATAAGATCCCAYCTCATCCCAATTAGAGTTGCTATTACCAAAAGAAAAAAAAAAAAAAAACTAGCAAGAATATAGGAAAAAAATAAAATCTTGCACACTGTTGGTGAGAATTAAACTAGTATGGCCACCAAGTAAAACAGTACAGAGGTTCATAAAAAACAAAAAACAACCAAAAAAAAACCCCACTATATGATTCAGCTATAACACTCCTGGGTATTACATCTAAAGGAAATAAGGTCAGCATACAAAAAGAGATACCTCCATACCCATGTTTCTTGCAACACTCCTCACAACAGGTGAGATATAAAGCCAAGATGCCTTGCCTATCAACAGATGAATGGATAAAGAAAATATGGTATGTATACACAATGGAGTATTACTAACTCATGAAGAAGAATGAAATCCTATCATTCCCAGAAAAATGGATGGAACCAGAGGACAATATATTTAGCAAAATAAGCCAAACATAGACAAGTATTGTATGTTTTCTCTCATATGTAGAAACAATGAGAGATACAGACAACCTGAAAATTAAAAAAAGATAGGGGAATTATTAGAAACTGTGAAGGGGCAACAGGGAAGAGTGGATGGACATGATTAACACATAATATCTGCACATGTAGAAATACTACCATGAAACCCATTAATTTATATGATTAATATGTGTTGATAATTATCATTTTAAAAAAAAGGAAGACAGGGTGTGGCTCAGCAGTAGAGCACTTGCCCCCCATCTGTGAGGCACTGGGTTGGATCCTCAGCACCACATAAAAGTAAATAAACAGAATAAAGATACCGCGTCCATGTATAACTAAAAAATATTTTTTWAAAAACAGCTTGAACTTTTACTTCCAGATAAAATGGAATAACAGGAGCCAAATCTACCCTCTCATCTGAGATGTGACTTTTTTAAAAAGGACAGAATAAAAGAACTATTTAAAATACATCAAGCATCAAGCAATGAAGGACAGAAATCCATAGGGGATAAAAACAAGAGGTAGGTCCTACAATTGCCCCAGCTCACCACATTCGAAAGTCATAGTTTAGAAGACTAAATCAGTGCACAGGGCAGATCATGAGGGAAAAGAAACTTGAACAGAAAGAGAAGTCCAGAGATTTTTCAGAGAT